CTCTACCCGACCAGTGGCCTCTCGTAACCTTTCCTCAGCGGCTCCCACTTGCCGCGCCCGTATATCGAGCAGTTCTTCAAAGGACAGGTTCACTTTCAGGTCCTGGCGCCTCCACGTCATGGAACTTTCTATGGGAAAGGTGGCATGCCTTCCGTACCATAGTGTGGCAGGCGCATACTTGGTAGTCCTTTTCATGGTAACATTTTCCACGAAAAATGCCGCTCTCAGGAACTTCGGCCACTGGTTAGGCCTCCCCTCAGTCCACTTAGCCAAGAGATTTGTGATGGTACTATGCCCTCTCTTCACAGGGGCGTTCGCCTGGGGGTGCGCGACAGTAGTATAGTTCGCTACCACGTCATACCCCGCAAGCAAGGTCTGTACCTCGTTACAGGTGAACTCTGACCCCCGGTCCATCACAAACTCTCTGACAAACGGATAGCGCAGGTAGTACTCTTCGATGCATCTTGCTAACACTGGGCCAGTTTTCGTACGAATAGCCCGACTGTCCACGAACCCGATAAGGTTGTCCCGTGCGTCGAAGATATAGTTACTTCCATCCTCCCCGAGTGGCATGAACAACAGGTCCAAGTGTACGACTGCACCCACTTCCCTTTCCAGCCTGGGTTGCAGAGGCTCCCCAGGCCTTTGCGCTGACCTCTGTTGGCAAGGTACACAGGACTGGTAGTACTTGATGACCATAGTCAGCATTCCATCCCAATGGTATAACTCACTTATCTTTGCGCATGTGGCACTAACCCCTTTGTGCACCCCTGCTATACCATCGTGTAAGGCTGCTATGACATCGATCTGTCGGCTCCTCCCACATACGATCCTCTTGAGGTTCCCAACCTGTCGCTTTATAAACAGATGGCCATCTCTTACTACGTAGAGATGCCTCATCTTCTGGCTTTAGCACTTGCGTCCCTATCCCTTATCTTGCACGACAGGAGTAACCCCAACTCCCGATAGATCCCGTCATACTCCTCGGCACGAAAGACCTCTCTAATCTTCTCCTCTTCGAACTCGTCATCCTGGCTTTCAGGAATAAGAAGTTCGCTTTCTTCGGAACCGGTTGAGCTCCTCTGCTTAAAGTCCCCCTGCAGGAGCGTATTAGTGAGCAAGTACATCCCTCCCATTAGTTGCTCATTCTCCTCTACCTGGGTTGACCCTTCCTCTATCGTCTTGACCTCTTCGGCCAGGCTATCTGTGCCTGCCAATGCCAACTTCATCATCCAGCCAACATCCCTACTCCCCCATGGATCTTCCTCCTGAAAAGGTTTGAGGACCATCTCTTCCTTTCGCTCGTACCCCCTTGGTGCTGGCCATATGGGATGCGTGACGCAGCTAGGCACCCTCAGCGACCAGTCATTTATGTGGAGGCAGACATCCTCCTCCTGGTCTAAGAACCCGTTGACTGGTGGGGTATCTTCAGTTGATTCTTGATTCGCCCTGTCCCAGTTGATACGGCTCAATCCATCTGCCCTATTTTTGTCCCCGGGAATCCTCTCAAATTCGAAGTTAAACATCCAAATGTAAGTCAACCACCTCGCGATGGTTGGGTCAGATGGAGTATAACTTTTCAGGGAACACGCAAGCACAGTAGGGTCCACCCTCAGAATGAGCCTCCTGCCAAAGATATAGTTCCGGAAGGTCCTCAGGCAGTGGAGTACCGCCAGCGTCTCCTTCTTGAACTGCGAATAGTTCCTCTCGGTCGTATTGAGAGTACGACTTTCAAATCTTAGCGGCCTCTCCTTCCCATCTGCATCAGCCTGAATCAGGACCCCTCCTAAGGCAGTTGGCCCGGCGTCCGTCTCGACAACGAATGACTTTTCCTCCGTAGCCTCATTATTTGGCGCTCCCAGCACTAGGCCTCCTTCCCTGAACTCTCCCTTCATCCTTTCCACAGCCTTTTCCTGCTCTTCACCCCAGACCCATTTCTGATCCTGACGCACCAGCTTCCTCAAATGCTCCGTCTTGGTGGCGAAGTCCTTCACAAAAGTTCTCCAAAACCCACAGGTCCCAAGGAAGCTTCTCACGTTCGTTATCGACTGAAAGGGGACTGGCCATTCTTGGATCTTGTCCGTTTTCTTCACGTCTGGCCTCCGCCCCTTCTCATTACAGACAAAGCCCAGAATCGTGGTTTCCCTCATACAGTGCTTCGACTTGGGGCCGCTTGCCGTCAGGTTATGTTCTTTCAGCAAACCCAGGAATTGATCGATATCCTGGATGTGCTTCCAGACGAACCGCCTCATTCCTCTTCTCCTTTGGACCCTTAACCGCCAAATCATCAATGTAGGGCTGAGTGATCTGTGAACTAACCGTCTGCATGGCCCTAATCATTTGCCTTTGCACCATTGCCACCACATTAGTCCACCCCTGAGGGCCCACATTCATGTGGATCAGCCCCCTTGGCGTATGCATCGCCGTCACCGGCCTATCCGGCGGGTACACAGGAAACTGGTCATACCCAGAATAAAGGTCTATAAGTGAGATTATAAGCCTCCCTTCGCATGACTCTGGCAGGGCGTCCTCGTTCGCCAATCCTCCTGCGTCCCGCACCGTTACTGCATTCAATCGTTGCAAATTCTACACCCACCGTAGCGTTCCGTTTGGCTTGATAAAACAAAACCAAGGGGAGGCATACGGTTCACTGGAATAGTCTGCCACGTATGTCCGCATCTTCCCGTCCAAATAATCCACCACCTTCTTCTCTTCATCTGGATTTGGGTATCGCGCGCCCCTCAGGTTCCACGGCTCGTGTGGGGCGGTATGAATTCGTATCATTGAAATCTTATCTTCGTCCAACCTCCCACACTCGTCGTCATTAAACACATACAGCCTCCTCTTCATGATTTCCACCATCAAGGTCCTCTCATGGGGCAAAAGGAAGCCAGACTCGCCAATTATCAACCCTTCCTCATTCTCGTCATTGATGCGACATGGCCCTGCCTGCGCGCGCTCCCGCATACGTCTTATCAGCCCCCGCTCTCGCTCGTAATAGGCTTCCTCATCCTGCATGGGGACCGGGCGGCGCTTCTTATCTGTAGTCTTGTACCGCCTTTGGGAGCCCTGCTTAAGCCCTCCCCTAAAAAAGGCCGACTTGTCGTTCGGGCCTGGGCCATCGCAGGGTCCCCTTTTCTCCCGGGAAGTCGATAGATCAGCTCCACTTCCCCCACCTGAGGGTTTTCCAGGACCTGCTCCCTCAATGCATTTATCGCTTCAGGGTCCGCCATATCATGCGCTGCCACCACCTCCATTGCCTTATTCACATCGTTAAGGCTCAGAGACAACACCTCGCGTGCTCCTTCCTCCTCTTTCTCCTCCTTGAGTCTCCGTAGCGCGTGCTCAGACTCCTCGAAGGTAAAGGAGCCGAGGTTGAGCCTGTTCCTCCCACTTCCGGGCCCTGTGTTCCGGCACTTAATAATTTCGTAATTCCCGCAGACCGGATCAGATAGGGCTGGGATCATTGCGCCCTCATGCCTATTGAAGACCAAGGTCTCCGTTCGGCAGAGGAATGATCTTCCAAGAAGGATACGCGTGTCGACATCGGGCATGACGAAGAAACACGTATTTCGTAATTCCCGCAGGCCGGATCAGATAGGGCTGGGATCATTGTCCCCTCATGCCTATTGAAGACCAAGGTCTCCGTTCGACAGAGGAACGATCTTCCAAGAAGGATAGGGTGGTCGACATCGCGCATGACGAAGAAAAACGTTCGCGCCCTTACCCTCCCGATCTCCACCATCACATTAGACGCGGTGCCGCAGAAAATGCCCTTGCAATTGGCGCCATGCAGCACACCATGGTCCAAGTGATCCACCTCCAGCCCTAGCATAGTCGCGTCCCGCTCCCGGATGATATTCGTCTCGGTGCCTGTGTCCACCATTGCGATGCTTGGCTGGTCTCTCACCTTCAGATCCACCAACCCACATGCCACACATTTCCAGTCGATCCTGGTGCCCACCTCTGTCCACTCTATCTCCCTGGGCAGAATTGAGCTCAGGTGGACGTTGGGCACTAGCCTCTGCGAGAGCCGCCCTTTCAGCTCGCCACGGAGTCTTGGCGCTGACGCCAGGATGTCTTTTAAATTCATCAAATCGTTGTGGCCTTCCAGGAGCTTATCTACCATCCGCTCCACGTCAAAACCTTCCTCCAGCCAAACTGCGTACTTCTTCCTTTTTGGCACGCCATCGTGCAGGCTCGGCTCCGCTCCTCCCTGAATCCCTCTCTTCTTGGCCCTCTGCTCAGCTCGCCGATCTTCTTCCTGGCGGAGCCTCTCATCCTCTTCGTCATCACCCTCATCTTCCTCTTCTTGAACCTCTACCACTTCTTTCCTTCGTTCAGGCTCGGGCTCCTTTCGAGGAGGCACCCGACCAGGTGCCTAGCTGGGCCCTTGACTGGTGGTAGCCTTACTTTGGCCCCTAGTCTGCGCGGCCTGGGGCACCCTTCTATGTGACGTAGGGGGCTTGAAGGTCATCCCTGACCTAGGACCTGCCCCGACCGTCGCCACGCTTGGACACCCTTGCGGTCCTGATGATGACTCCGAGCCGGACACATAGAGCATTACCTCAGGAAGATTCATTTCCCATTCCCGGGCCTCTTCGCACATCACCCTTAGCCGTTTCTGATATCTGCCGACCTTTGCAAGCAGGTCCTCCATCCTTTTCAGGATGGTCGAGGATGATTCTCTCACCACCTCCCGTGCCTCGTCGCCGGACTCAACAACTATGGTCTCCTCCTTTATAGTCCCCGCTTTCAGCCGCTAAGTCACTTCCTCATTTTCATCCATAATCTCCTCGACTCTCACACCCGGGTCTTGCCTTTCCTGCCATATCCTGGACATTGTTGGGGCCGTTGGAGGCCCTGCTGCTGCTCGCCTGAGGGCTTCCTGCCTGATTCCTCCCGAGGTTTTGGGATCAATATGCTTTCCCTACCGATCGTATATGTCCCCATCCATACAGGTGGATATTAGTCCTGCCAGTTCGTCGTCCCGCCGCTGTTGGGAGAATCATACGGTGTGGCCCACCTCGCCACAATGCCAACAAGTTGCGTTCCGCCAGTGGAAGCGGGGCCTCCGATACCCTTGGCCCCCTCCCTGGCTGCCTTGGCCACGTTGGTTCTGACCCCCTTGACCATTCCAGCCTCCTCCACGGCCTCCACCATTTCCTCCTCGCCCCCGGCCGCCCCCTCCTCTACCCCCTTGGCCCCGGCCCCCATTGCCCTGCCCGCCTTGTCCTTGGCGCCCTCCCCCGGCCACACTGGCTTGCGAGGCCTGTTGGGAGGGCGGCAGTTGAGCCACAGGCTGTTTGATGGGCTCGAATAGGGGACTATGTGTCCCGTGTGGGCCTGGCTCCCTCCACACGAGACACAGTGGTTACAACTGGGCCAGGGAGCAGACTGACAATGCTGCACCCAGTGCCCACAAGCTGGTGGCGGCCCCATGTGTGATGGTCCTGCTGGCATCGGTGCGGCCGCGGCGACTGGCGGTGGTGGGGCAATGGCTTGGGGAGCCTGCCCCTTCCCTGACCCATGCCCTCCCTGCAGCAGATTGCGCTGCTTCCTCTGGGCCTTGGTCAGGACTTGGGAACCCGTCTCCCCTCCGCTGTAGTCTTCTTGCCCAGCCTCCTCATCCACTGCCCCTGACACCCGGCCTTGGGCCACTAGCACCCCTCTTTTTTGTATCTCTGCTTTGTTATCATACCCCAAGGCCGCCAACACGTCCGTGACGATTCTCTTCACCCCTGGGGTTCCGTATGCGGTAGCATCCCTCTCGTTCCTCTTGCGCCTTTGCAGCCTCATTTGGTGTTGCTCCACCTGGTCCAGGCTCCCTTCTTCCCCTCTCTTGTCAATGGTTGCCCAGGTGAGCCTCTCACTCCCTTCCCCATACTTGGTCAGCTCTGTGGCCTCCGAGCCCGTAAGCAGCTCTGTGGCTTCCTCAGAAATCCCGTGCACTTTCCTCGCCTTTTTCTTGAACTCGTGCACAAACGCCCCAATAGTAGAGAAATCTTCCTTATTCATGGCCTCCAGGTCTGCCATAGTCAACAGGCCGTCCCCCAGCCTATACTTCCTTCGCATTAGGTCCCCAAACCTTGTCCAACTGGCACCGGCGCCATCCACGACCTTAGTTACTTCCCGATGGTGACTATGCAGGACGTACCTCAGGACCCTCTAGAGCTTGACCTCATCTGACAATCCCACTAGCGCCTGCTCTGTCAGATCCAGCCAGTCAGATACCCGATCCCCTTTGAAGTGAAATGTCTCGACCTTTGGGACATTGCTCGACGCCCTCTCGCGCTTGTCCAAGGCATCGATGAGGTCGTCGAGAGTCACAAGCCTCCTCCCACCATCCGCCATCTCCTCTGGCATTTTGGCCAACCGCCTTCGACTTCGATCTTCCTGTTATAAGAGACGATGGGACAAAGGACCCTACTCAGCGACTCAACCCTTCATGACCCTATCGGGTTGACCACTTAGACACCCCATACACCCGGCAGACATTCCTTTTCCTATTTCCCTTAGGCTCACCTAGATAAGGCTTATCCTTACCATAGAACTTTCTCACCCACTTGCTTCATTCAAGCTGCCAACCAAGCCGCCAATCAATCAATCATTCAACCCTCAATCGTATAGGCCACCATACAGTCCATCTCATAGTTCTTCTCTTACTCACTCATATGCCTAATTTCTCCCTCACTCCCATACCCGGACGTCGTTCCACCAGGGACCTGTCTCTTATACACATCTAGATGTGTATAAGAGACAGGGCTTATCCTTACCATAGAACTTTCTCACCCACTTGCTTCATTCAAGCTGCCAACCAAGCCGCCAATCAATCAATCATTCAACCCTCAATCGTATAGGCCACCATACAGTCCATCTCATAGTTCTTCTCTTACTCACTCATATGCCTAATTTCTCCCTCACTCCCATACCCGGACGTCGTTCCACCAGGGACAACGGTAGGCTTCTGTTATCCCTGACAACGGCGCCACCTGTTGAGCGCATCGGTCCGGCACCGCACGTGGCAGCATGGGACCCTCTCGGCCGCGTCACGCAGGAGTTGAACCAACCTCGTCGTGAATACACCAATGAAGCTTCCTTAGGCCGGTCCGGCCGAGTGCGCCAGCCATACCTCTCGCGAGCCCCTACGGCAGGATAGGGCCTACGGGAGGCACGACTTACCTCCACCTTACGGGAGTTGTCACCTCCCATCGGTGGGCGTATCCCCGCCGAGCTACCAGTCCACAGTACGAAAGCTGATCAGTTGCAATCGCAGAGGTGGACCAGCCGAGGGCGTTTCTCGTTCGCTGTAGCATAGGGGGTACTCGCGGTAATACGCGTGTCGGACCCGCACACGAACCGACATCTTGGGGGGGCTGAAGTCCCAAGCGCGACTCGTCGTCGATCGTCTAGGACGCATCCCACACACCACGCGCACAACACTCTAACAACCACATGAAAACAACGGACACGCATACACGCGGAACGACACAACGCAAACAACGTGACAATGCTCCTAGCCCCTCGGTAGCCGTCCCATAACTTCCCCATGCGGAAATCGAGTAGGCGTCGCGCGCGAAACTTAATATAAAACAGCGTCGACGCAGGGCTAACTCATATCGACTCGCAATGCAAGCGGTCGTAATGATGGCGTACCATGTAGTACCCATACTCATGCGGTCCTTGTTAATCTCGAGGGTCGCGTTCGACACTCAAGTGTCGGCTGACACGCGCCTTGAGGGTTAATCTCTTGACGCTGGACAACCGCCATGCGCGGTTGGAGACCACACACCCTCTTCTGCACCCTTATGCAGAGCGGGTGGTACACAGGTCCAAAGCCTGTGGTGGTCGTTGTCCCTCGCGACCTTAGAGGTAAGTCCTCCCCGGGCCTGGGCGAAAGTCAAGGGGTTTGACTTTAACGGATGCCACGGACTACAACGTCCAACCGTAATAATCACCAACGAGCAAACAAGGCACACACGATACAGGAAGAGGGGCTTGGGCAAAGGCCCCCCCTTGCCTTAGAAAGGAATCGTGACCTTGGGGTACCCTCCCCCTCTACGGTTGGTGCCGGCGGCCTACAATAATCCAAGCGCTGCACCTACGTGCGAGCCCGAAGATCCCATAACCTTTAAGCGCTGGGGCGGCGAGACGTCGCGCGCAGGGCTCTGATATAAAACTGCGCGGCCGCAGGCCAATCCTACACCAACCATTGATGCCAATCATACGTGGTAACCGCGACTCCGGCCTCGCTATATTGAATGGCTGAAGGAACACACCGCGAGGGGTTACCCCTCTCGATATTGAACGACTAAAGGACGCGCCGTTCGGCCCTCGCGACATTTTCGCTTTTCAGCTGGAGTGTCCCGCCGGCCAAAGTAAACAGGCTCTATGCGAGGGGAGACTCCTCCCCCTCAGGGCCTAGGGCTTGGGATATCCTTGGACAAGGACCTTGAATCCCGGCCCAGGACCAACGCCCGACCAAGAAAGCCTCAAGATGCAAATAGGCAGAGGGGAGGGTCTTCCCTGTACTTCAATCCCAACTTTTACGCGGTGTTAACATGGCCTCTTAGGCCTCCCGAACACTCATCGTACGTATACCCACACATACATACAGAGGGGGATAGAGTTGTGACGATCACTTCTCACAGGCACAGTAGGACTCCTCACAACCATGTATACGTATATGGAGTCGCAGGCAGTCCAAATCCAAAATCCGAATCACAGGACATACCTGCAATCACACCAAGAATCAAACAACAAAGCACGCACTACACGAAGTCAACCCCAACCATTCTCTATGCTCATACCCCTTTGCTTTAGCCATGCAGGCCCCAATCACCGACCCAACCAACCTCAATTAAATACTCAGTACCTTTTTAAATGACCATTCAATAAAAGTCTGGGTAAAAACCTTAACAAACAGTAAAACCACCAGGGCTAAAGCCTAGGTTGAGTATAGGGAGTGAGTTGGGATTGAGTCGAAGACCGACGAATCGACAACCGACCTGTTATCAGTGATAACAGGAGATGATCCTCAAGGGATCAAGTTGAATCTAGTCCTGATGTTGAATCGAACGATCAAGAGGACCTGTACACATGATAGGCCAATCCCCAAGCTGGAATCATAAGTGTATGGAGAATACAACTCCATAACATATTCTCACTCAAATCCTCCTAGCTAGCTAGGCCTGAATCTACCTTTAAGCAGTGCCCAAAGCAAAGACAGACTCTGGCTGAATCTCCCTTATTCCGGGTGGATTGCCAAAAATCGCCACCTGTCAAAATATAATCTAACTCCTCTAAATCCAGAAAATTTTGGCAGCGCTTCCCGTAGAAAAAGTGCCTTTTCCGAATTTATACAAGCCCAAATGTGAACTCAACTTCCAACCTTGAGCTCAACTTAGATAAAGTCTGGCTAACTACTTAGTTTTGCAGAAATTTCGGCAGCACCCCCCCTTTAGAAAAGTGCTCTCACAAAATTTATACAAAGCCAAGTTTAGAACCTAAAACTAATTCTGACATCTCAAAGCCCAATTTTGTCTAACTCCCTGAATTAGCAAAAATTTGGGCAGCACTCCCTTTAGAAAACCTTTAGAAAAGGAGGCTTTCCAGATTTTTACTAAGTCAGATATGACGAAAAGACAAGCTGAACTTTGACAAGTCAAAATTTGTCAAACTCCTTGAATCTGCAGAAATTTCGGCAGCGCTTCCCGTAGAGAAAGTAGCTTACCAGAATTTATACAGGTCGAAGTATAATAGCGAGCCTCAGAAGATGTCAAAAATCGATCGAAGTAAAATAAAGTCAGCTCAGGAAATGCAGGAATTGACCTAACTCCTACCGCTCTAGCACGTGGCGAGCCTCTAAAGCAACTACCTGTCAACCTGAAACCAGACCAAGTAGTAATCTCACTCAGCCACATGCAGGCCAACCCACAAGGGTAAGTACTCTCACCATCCCCAAGTCAATCTGAGCAAACAATAGTTCATGATCTTTCAGCGAGTTACCCCCTCATACCCAACTTACATAAGGCATAGGTCAGGGCACCTGAACTTACAGAGCGCGCCCAACTTAGCCAGGCCCAAAGTCAGAATACCCAAACTTATAGAGCGTTCTGACTTGGCCAGGTATACACGAACAGAGGGCACAACTACTTCTCTCTTCTTTAGGCGTATGACTAGATCACTCCAGTCGCACTGATCTGTTTAAATAGCCAATTTATATATACCTTTCTGAACTTAGTCTTCAAAGGGGACGTAAGGCTGAGCCGCTCAACTTAGAACATTGCTCAGCCTGTCCAGGTTTACCTTCAGTTATATCTCTTAGTTATACTCTCTTCAGTTGTGATAAGCCATAATCGGGCTACCTAAACTTATAGAGCCGTTCGACTAGCCTGTTCTTAATAACATAGTAATATAGTATAGCCAAGTTATATCCATTGGGTTCCAACATTTGTAAGGCATTGGGTCAGGCTACCTAAACTTATAGAGCGGTCTGATCCTCAGCCAGGTTTGTTTCTCTCTGATCCAATCTGTGCGAGGCAATGGGATAGGCTACCTAAACTTATAGAGCGGTCAGTCCCCTGCCAGAATTATTCCCTCAGAACAAAACAGGAGAAGGGTTGAACCACCTAAGCTTATAGAGCGGTTCAGGCCTCCTTTTTCAGAACCAAAGAAACTGAGAGAACCCCAAATAAAACAAGGCAACCCAAGGTACCTAAACTTATAGAGCGCCTTGGGTCCCTGAAAATCACCTGCAGTCAAACCCTCACAAGTCAGAGCAGCCAGGACACCTAAACTTATGGAGCGTTATGACCCTCTATGCAATTCACAACACTAGGTCTCCCCAAACTTATGGGGACATCCTAGCCCTCAGAGCTTCAAGCTACCTAAACTTATAGACCGGTCTGAGGCTCCATGCAATCCAAAAATAAACAAAGCGCTGAGCTTCCCCAATATTAAGGGGACCTCCCAGCCTTAGTGACCCAGCCAGTCTGCACACAATACTACCTTTCTCCCAACCTTCCCCCAGATGCAACCCATTTCATTCACAATATGCTTTCAGGCAATCAACAACCGAAACTGAGGTTGCACATATGTTCTTTTACTTCAATCTGGCTTATGTCCTGAAAGTC